AGGTCTTTGATCCATTTTGAATTAGTTTGTATATGGTGTGAGGTATGGGTCCTGTTTCATTTTTTTGCAGATGGACATCCAGTTTTGCCAGCACCATTTGTTAAAAAGACTGTTTGTTCCCCATTTGATGGTCTTTGGGCCCTTGTGGAAGATCAGGTGACCGCAGGTGGATGGATTTACATCTGGGTTCTCAATTCTGTTCCACTGGTCAATATATCTGTTGTTGTACCAGTACCAGCCTATTTTGACTACCGCAGCTGTATAGTAGGTTCTGAGGTCAGGCAGTGTGAGTCTTCCTACTTTATTCTTCTTCTTCAGTAGTGCTTTACTTATTTGGGTCTTCTTCCTTTTCCATATGAAGTTAATGATTATTTTTTCTATCTCTTTAAAGAATGTTGTTGGTATTCGGATGGGGATTGCATTGTATTTGTAAATTGCTTTGGGTAGAATTGTCATTTTCACAATGTTGAGTCTACCTATCCATGAGCATGGCATGTTTTTCCATTTATGTAGATCCTTTTGGGTTTCTTGCAGTAGTGTTTTGCAGTTTCCTTTGTATAGGTCTTTTACATCCCCGGTTAGATTTATTCCTAAGTATTTTATTTTTTCAGGGGCTATTATAAATGGTATTGTTTTCCTGATTTTCTTTTCATCATTCTCCTTATTGGTGTATAGGAATCCAACTGATTTTTGTATGTTTTTCTTGTATCCTGCTACTCTGCTGAATCTTTCTATTAGTTCCAGTAGTTTTCTCGTGGCGTCTTTAGGGTTTTCTATGTACAGCATCATATCATCTGCCAACAGGGGCAGTTTAACTTCTTCATTACCAATTTGGATGCCCTTTATTTCTTTTTCTTGCCTTACTGCTCTAGCTAGAACTTCCAGCACAATGTTAAATAGGAGTGGTGATAAAGGGCATCCTTGTCTTGTTCATGTTCTCAAGGGGAATGTCACACCATATATTAAGATCAACTCAAAAGGTATCTAAGACCTAAATGTAAGAGCTAAAAACTAAAAACACCCTAGAAGAAAACATAAGACAAAATCTTCATGACCCTGAATTTGGCAATGGATTTTTGGATATGATACCAAAAGCACAGGCAACAAAAGAAAAAAACAGACAAATTTAGACTTCAAAATTAAAACCTTTTGTGCTTCAAAGGACACTGTCAAGAAAGTGAAAAGACAACACACAGAATGGGGAGAAAATATTTGCAAATCATGTATCTGGTAAGTGTCGAGTATCCAGACTATATAAATTTTTTATAACTCATCAACAAAAAGACAAACAACTAAACATAGACAAAAGGCATAACGAGAACACAATTAAAGAGAATGCTGCCACACTGTGACAAATGTAACAATGTCACTGAATAATTTCAGTGGAAATCGTCAAATGGGAACCTAACTTGCTGTGTAAACTTTTACCAAAAACACAATAAATCATATATATATATATATATATATATATATATATATATATATGCAAAGAACTTGAATAAGTATTTCTCCAAAGATACACAAGTTGCTAATTAAGCACGTGAAAAGATGCTCACATCAATAGTCAACAGTGAAATGCAAATCAAAACCACAATGAGATACAAACTCACACCCACTAGTGTGGCTATAATAAAAAAAAAAAAGGGAAAATAACAAGCGTTGGTGAGGAAGTGGAAAAAATGGATTTGATCCTCATACACTGTTAGTGGGAATGTGAAAAACAGTTAGGTGGTTCTGCAAAAATTTAAACACAGAATTACCACATGACCCAGCGATCTCACGCCTAGATATATACCTAAGAGAACTGAAAACAGGTGTTCAAACAAAAACATGTACATCAATGTTCATAGAGGAATTATTCATAATAGTCAAAAAGTGGAAGCAAATGTCCATCAACTGATGAATGGATAAACAAATTACAGTATATCCACACAATGGAATATTATGCAGCCATAAAAAGGAATAAAGTACTGACGCATGCTACAACACAGATAAACCTCAAAAACATTATGCTTAGTAAAAGAAGCCAGACACAAAAAGCCACATAATGTATGATTCCAATTTGATGAACTATCAAGGACAGGCAAATCCATAGAGACATAAAGTAGATTAATAGTTACCAGGAGACAGAGGAAGAGGGAAAATGGGGAGTGACTGCTAGTAAGTACAGGGTTTTTTTTTTGCGGCGGGGGTGGGGGGGTAATGAAAATGTTCTAAAATCAGATAGTGTGGTATACCTGCACAACTCTGTGAATATACTAAAAATCACTGAACTGTACACCTTAAAAGGGTGAACTTTTTGGTGAATTATATCTCAATAAAGCTGTTATTTAAAAAATAAAACTTTGTGAGGGAAGAAAAAAATGCCTTCCTTGGATTAATTTGTTTGCTTATCCTTTTCAAATATCTACCATGAGTTCTGCTGCTGCCGTTACCTTTTCTGTCTTGATTTGGGGGAAGTAGATGAAGTATGGCTGCGTCTGGCTCGTTCCCTGACATCTTTGCCACTCGTAGAATCCATCTGCTAGAACGACACAGCGTCTTCCCCTTCCCAGAGGGACCTAAGGGAAAACGTGAGCAAGATATGGTCTTATCTTAGTGATAACCATGTTTCATGATCTGAGTTAAAATCTTAGGTCCACCAATGTGTGACCTTAGAGCAGTTATTTAACTTCTCTCTTCCTCGCTTATGCATTAAGTGGTGATAACAGCACCCAGTTATGCTGACATTGAAAAGATTGAATATGTACATAAAAGCAACCAGCTCTTTATCTAACAAATAACTGACACTTATGGTGGCTAGTCTCCTAAGCTGGCCCCCCGACTTAAAAAAAAACAACAAAAAACTAAACCCATTGCCATCCAGTTGATTCCAACTCATAATGACCCTAGAGGACAGAGTAGAACTGCCCCATAGGGTTTTCAAGGAGCACCTGGTGGATTCGAACTGCCGACCTTTTAGTTAGCAGCTGTAGCTCTTAACCACTATGCCACCAGGGTTTCCCTCCACTGACTTAGGGACTACATAATACTCTATGTAGTCCCCACTGAAAATGAATTTGGGCTGGCTCTGTATAACCAACAGATCGCAGCAGAAGTGATTCTTGTGACATCCAAGACTAGGTCACAAAGTTTTGCAGCTCCTACAGCTTCTGCCTGCTTTCTTGGATTGTGAGCTCTGGAGTAAGCCAGCCACCATGTAAGAAGGCTGACTACCCTGAGGCTGCCAAGCTGGACATGTGGAAAGGCTTCCAGTCATTCTAGCCAGCCCTGCTGAGGTATCAGACTGTGGGTGAAGAAGCCACTTTGGACATCCAGCTCTAGCTGCCATTTGATTACAACTGCATAAGAAACCCCAAGTGAGAAATGTCCAGTTGTGTGCAGTGAATTGCTTTTGTGTGGCCTTTCTTGTTGTGGTCTTGTAACTCCCACCCAAGTGATTGTGTGGGACTGTGCAAGTAAGGTAACTGTAGCCCACCAAGGGTACAGAGTGAGAAAGCTGAGTGCCTTTGGGCAGGAGGCTTGCTGGTGGAATAGGGTGCCTCTGGGCACTTGGTGGAGCTAGGTTTGTGAACTCACAGAGCTAGAGCTGAGCACCTTCAGGCCAAGGCTTACTGGAGGAGTGGGGTGCCTCGGGGCACTTATCAGCAGAGCTAAAACAGCTTTGTAACACTTGTCTGAACAGGGCAGAGGCTGAGGGGCCAGAGAGAGTTGTGCCTGCGGGCACCGCTGAGAAGAGGCTGTCCTGACTGAAGAAGTGTATCCTGAGTATTCCTGAACCTGAATTGTAACCTGTTACTTTCCTAATAAACCCCATACTTGTGAGTATGGTCTGTGACTTCTGTGTGGCCACTGCAATGAATTATTGAATCCAGCAGAGAAGCAGAGAGTGCTGTAGGAGGGACAGTTGGTATCAGAATTGGTAAAGATGGCAGAGAGAGGAGGCATGCTTGACTTCCATCTTATAGGAATCAGTCTTGGGCTGTTGATCTTGATTTTCCTTCCCCCTCGTGAAGTTAGGTCAGATGACACCACCATGCCATTTTTAACACCAGCTGAACCCAGTCAATCCACAGAACATGAGAGATAATAATAATAAACTGTTGTTTTAAACCACTAAGTTTTGACATGGTTTGTTACGCAGTAATAAATGGAATACCACTCAACATTAACAACTGGGAACATTCTTTGTAACCTTAAGAAGGTTCCAAAGAGAACCTTATTTTATTTCACAGGTATACAAGGGCACTAATAGCTCTGTTAGAAACAAGATTAGAATATGTGCTTTTTCCCTAGACCAGGTACCTACCTTGAAAGACAGCTTCTCCATCATGGTATCACTACGACAGTTGGTAGTATTGAATTGCAGCTTGGAAGGATCATCTTCTTTGAACCAAGATGGGACCAAGCCCCATCGCATGGGAGCAATGATACGCTCAGATGAGTCTGCACCCTGCCACAGACAAAAGGAAGATCCAGTGAGATCATAATGACATTTAGAAAACCAAATGTAGCACATGTATTACGTTACTATTAGTAATTAAAATACAAAGAATAGAAATTTTTAAAAGGGAAAAATTTACTTGAAAATAATTTTAGTGATTTATCATGATATGAATAACTTTTGAGTTCTTTAGCAACCATATTTATTAGAATGTAAGACATTCTGCTTGGATGAGGTGGGGGATACAAAGAGGTTTAGCTCCTGTAAACTTTTAATTAGTGCCTACTATAGGAGAGATGGAGCGCTGGTGGCGCAGTGGTTAAGAGCTCAGCTGCTAACCAAAATGTTGGCGGTTCAAAGCCACCAGCCACTCCTTGGAAACCCTGTGGGGCAGTTCTACTCTGTCCTACAGGGTTGCTATGAGTTGGAAATGACTTGACAGCACACAACAACAAAAACAACATCATGGGAGAGACAAGCAGTTCTGGTGGTACAATGGATAAGTGCTCAGCTGCTAACCAAAAGGTCAGCAGTTCAAACCCTCCAGCCACTTTGCAGAGAAAAGACCTGGCGATCTGCTCCCTTAAAGATTACAGCCTATGGGGCAGTTCTACTCTGTCATATACAGTTGTGAATCAACTTGACAGCACACGACAATGACAATAATGGGAGAGACAACGCTAGGCCCTGCACTTCATATGGTCCCAGCTCTCAAGAAGCAAAAATTACAGACAACTATAATACAGGGAGGTATGTGATGATCAAGGGATGCACAGGGTGTTATAGGGGCACACATAAGAGTGCTTAACCTAAAGGCTTGCACTATAGCATGTGAGGCCACATGGATACGAAAATATTAAAAATATAAGATATTATAGGCTAAGGGCCAGATAAGTGGTATGCACTGTGAGTGTTAAACGAGTTCAGTGAAAAATGATCCCTAAGAGATGGAATGAAGTACCAGCTCCTTATAAGGAGCAGGGGAGAGATGAGAGAGCGTTCTTGAACTGGGTCCCATAAGAGGTACAGGATTGAGACAGAGAAGAGATGGGAGGAGACCAGCCATGAAATAAATTGAGCAAAGAGACCATGTCAGGAATGTGCAGGGAAATGGTTTGTGCAGAAAAGAGGTAACATAGCAGGCCTGAGGCTGTTATTTTTAGAAGAGCCTGCTTGCAAGGTTGGCACTTGACTAGCAGCTAGGAACTTAGATTTTGGAGAGAGTTCCCACCTTTCTCTAACTGGTAAGGGTGGTTTACCATGCCTACTCTGTTTGCGAAAACAATGAGGTTTATGTTAAACACCTGCTTTCCTTCTGGGAGTCTGTAATTTTGGTAACTGTGAGGCAAAGGGTGCCTATGTGACCAGAAAACCAGCTGCCATCGAGTGGATTCTGACTCACAGTGACCACATGAGTATCAGAGTAGAACTGTGCTCCATAGGGTTTTCAGTGGCTCATTTTGCAGTAGATTGCCAGGCCTTTCTTCTGAGATGCCTCTGGGTGAACTCAAACCTCCAACTTTTTGGTTAACAGCTGAGCACATTAACTGTACCACCCAGAGACTTCCCTCCACGATCAGCTCCCAATAAAAACATTGGGCCCTGAGCCTCTAGTGGGCTTCCTTGGGCAGAAACATTGCACACCTGTTACTGCATTTTTCACTGTTGGAGAAAGAAGCATGCTTTGTGTGTCCCCTCATAGGCGGGAAAGAGCGTAAGGAAGCCTGCTCATGGATTTCTCCAGACTTTACTTGTCTTTTTCCCTTGCTGATTCTACTGTACTCTTTTCACTGTAATAAAGCTTCGCCATAAGCACAACTGTATGACAAGCCCTGTGAGGTGGAGGTGGTTTTGTGAACCCCTAACATGTAGTTATTAAGCTTTTTTTGGGTAACGGATACCTTGATAAATTGATAAAATCTACAGATTAAAGGATACATACACACTATTCTGCATGGCATGCTACACTGTGGATTGGAATAGACTAGTGAGAGTGCATTTTGGGTGCTACTACAGTGGTTTAAGGGTAAAGATAAGGAAGGTCTGGTGATAATAGCGAGAATAAAAGTAATACCCAAAAAACGGGGAAAAAAATGAAATTGTGGTAGTGATTGGGTTTTGAGGGAAAAATAAAACAGGGTGATTAAGTTTTCAAGCCTAGAAGACTGAAATTATAATAGTACTATTGAACAAGAGACAAAAATCTGAAGAGAGGTTTGATTTGTGGAATGATCATATGTTGAATTTCAGATAATAGTGGAAAGTCTGTGGCAGTTTTAAACAACGGTCGTAAAATCTTTAACACTCCTCACATTTAATAGAGTCTATATCCCTTCCCCTTTAATCTGCATTGGCTTGTGACTTCCTTGTAACCAGCAGGATGTGGTACAATGACACTGTATGACTGCCAAGACTAGGTCAGAAAAGGTGTTTCAGTTTCTTCCTTTTTTGCTGAGACTCTGCTTTTGGAGCTCTGAGTCCCTGTTTAAGAAATCCAGCTATTCTAAGACTGCCATGCTGTGAGAAAGTCCATGTTGTGTGGAGAGCCCACATGGAGGTGCTCTGGTCAACTGAGAACCAACATCAACTGCCAGATAAATGAGTGAAGATGCCTCCAGATCAGGGGTTGGCAAACATTTTCTTTTTTTTTAAATTTTATTGTACTTTAAGTGAAAGTTTACAATTCAAGTGAGTCTTTCATACAAAAATTTATACATACCTTGTTATGTGACCCTAGTTGCTCTCCTTATAAGGTGACAGCACACTCCTCCTTTCCACCCCAGATTTCCCACGTCCATTCAACTAGCTCCTGACCCTCTCTGCCTTCTCATCTTGCCTCTAGAGAGGAGCTGCCCATTTAGTCTCATGTATCTACTTGAGCTAAGAAGCACACTCTTCACGAGTATCATTTATGTCCCATAGTCCAGTCTAATCTTTGTCTGAAGATTTGGCCTCGGGAATGGTCTTAGTTCTGGGTTGACAAAGAGTACAGGGGCTATGTCTTCTGGGGTTCCTCCAATCTCAGTCAGACCATTAAGTCCGGTCTTTCTACTAGAATTTGAGTTCTGCACCCCACTTTTCTCCTGCTCCATCAGGGACTCTGCTGTGTTCCCTCTCAGAGTGGTCATTGGTGGTAGCTGGGCACCATCTAGTCTTCTTGTCTCAGGCTGATGCAGTCTCTGGTTTATGCGGCCCCTTTCTGTCTCTTGGGCTCATATTTTCCTTGTGTCTTTGGCGTTCTTCATTCTCCTTTGCTCTAGGTGGCGTGGGACCAATGGATACATCTTAGATGGCCGCTTGTTAGCTTTTAAGACCCCAGATGCCACTCATCAAAATAGGATGCAGAACATTTTCTTAATAAACTTTGTTATGCCAGTTGGCCTAGATGTCCCCGGAAAGCATGGTCCCCAGATCCCCACCCCCGCTACTCTGTCTCTCGAAGTGTTTGGTTGTATTCAGGAAATTTCTTAGCTTTGGTTTAGTCCAGTTGTGCTGACTTTCCCTGTAGTGTGTGTTGTCCTTCCCTTCACCTAAGATAATTCTTGTCTACTATCTAGTTAGTGAATAACCCTCACCCTCCCTCACCACTCTCATAACCATCAAAGAATGTTTTCTTCTGGGGGCAAACATTTTCTGTAAGAGGTGGACAGTAAGTATTTTAGGCTTCGTGGGCCATAATGTCTCTGTTGTAACTATTCAACACTGCTGTTGTAGCACCAAAGCAGCCATAAACAGTAGATAAATAAATGGACATTGCTGTGTTCCATAAAACTTGATTTATAAAAACAGGTGGAGGGCAGGACTTGGCCCTCAGGCCCTAGTTTTCCGACTCCTGCTCTAAATGATTCTATCTCCAGATGTCATCTACTCATCTGATGTCGCAGACATCAGGAAGAAGACAAACCATTTGCACATATGCCCTGTCCTAATTCTTAACTGGTGAACATAATAAAAAGGTTGTTCTAAGGCACTAGAATAAAATCCAATAGAGCTTCCACTCAGAGATGTGGAATTAAAGCTTCGGAAGAAGGCAGCACGGTATAGAGAACAGGTCAGCAAACTTTCTCTGCAAAGGGCCAGATAGTAAATATTTTTAGCTTTGATATCCCATACGGATACTGCTGCAACTACTCAAGCAACTCAACTCTGCTGCTGGTGGCATAAAAGCAACCAAAGACAAGATGTAAACAAATGAGCATAGCTATGTTCCAATGAAACTTTATTTACAAAAACAGGCAGTGGGCCAGATTTGGTTTGAGGACCACCATAGTGTGCCAATCCCTGGTATAGAGGAAAGAACAAAGGCTTTGTAAGGAGATCCTGGTTCAAAAATCCTTTCTCTGCTACTTATGAGGATGGACTAGTCTCAACTTCCTGGACCCTTAATTGTAAAAACAGAGTGAAAAATACCTACTTTGAGAATGATTTTTAATAATTAAAGATATTGTAATTAAAATGTGTGACACAGAGTAGGCACTCAAATTGTAGTTTAATATTTTTCTAAGATTATGATGAAAAACAAACAGTAAAATTTTCTATACAAAGGTGATTGTTAAATCCATGAGGGTAAATGAGGTTAATTCTTAAAGAGTCTTGTGGCTAATCAAGCATAAGCTTTAACCTGGGAGTTCAAATAAAGGAGAAAAGAAAGAAAAGTAGAGTCTAAGAAAAGTACCTAGAGAGATAAAAGCAGAACCAGGAAAGTCATGAGAGGATGGAATTCCAAGAAAGAAATCATCAGTAGTGGTACTGTCTCAGGAGAAGGGCTTCTCTGACTAAAGCTAATCTCTCCACAGTGCTCCTGATATGATCCTGTCCTGCTTCCTCCAGAATCTTGCCTTTTCATATCTGTATCTTCCCCTTAAAGACAAAGGCAGCCTAGGTATATTGCATACCCAGAGGTATTCAGAATGAAACTAATGAGAGTGCAAGAAAACTAAGGAAAAGAAGACCCTGGGAAGTGAACAAAAATAAATGGAAGTGTTAACCTCATCAGTGATAGGAGGGAG